TGACTCCTGAGCAGCACTGTAGAGAAGGGCCAGAGGACATGGAATCTGGTGAGATGGGCTCTGGCTTCTGGGATGTAGAAGTTCACTTACCCGCTACATTCACAGGGGGCAGGAGAGCAGCTAACAGGATTAGGAGTGGCTGCATCTTCTGGGGAAGGCTTCCCAGTGTAGAGCTGACCTTATCCAGACACAAACTATCTGCCTTGCAATGAAGAGGCCCAGACCCATTGACTTTATATCCCACCATACTTCAGTGCTCTGCGTGTTTGGTTGGGTGTTATCACACAAGTTGGTTTTGTGAATTTTTCTGGTTTAGGTGTTGTTGTTATGTGCTGTCAAGTTGCTTGTGACTCACAGCGACCCTATGTACAACAGCTCTAAACTCTGCTCAGTCCTGTGCCAATAGCACTAATCCTGATTGCCCCAGTCACTGAATTGATCCATCTCCCAGAATTGCCACCACATTCCTACTCATGGCTACTAATTCTCAGGCAGAAAGCAAGAATGCTTTTGTTTGTTGTCCTGTGCCATTGAGTTGCTTGTGACTCACAGCTACCCCATGTACAACAGCTCTGCACCCTACTCTATCCTGTGCCAACTTTATTGTCTCTGACACACCTATCCGTTACCCCAGTCACTGAGTCAATCCATTTCATTAAGGTTCTTCCTCTCTTGAGTTGTCCCTCCCAACTCCAAAGTATGATGTCCCTCTCCAATGATAGGTTAATCTTTATAACATGCCCGAACCATGTCAGACAAAGTCTCAGAATCCTTGCCTTCAAGAGCAACCTGGTTTTCAGAATAAGGAACTGTAAAGTGAAGGCTGCTAAGAGTATTATAATGGCCTATAATATGACTATAGGTGCTCCCAATACATGACACAATCTTTGCAATCACTTGCTATGCATCAGAGAGCATGGAAAATTACTAGAGATGATAGAAGGGGAACTGATGCCTTTGATCTGTTGTGTTGGTATTGACTATTCCATAGACTGTGAGGATAAAACATAGGTTCATTTAAAGAAGGTGTGACTAGGTTGCTTCTTGGAGACAAGGCTTCTGAAGCTTCGTCTGACATACTTTGGGCATGTTGTAAGGAGAGACTAGTGCTTGGAGAGGGACGTTATGCTTGGGAGGGTGGAGGGACAGCACAGGAGAGGAAGACCCTCTGTGAGGTGGATTGATTCAGTGACCGGGGTAATGGGGACAGGTGTGTCTGATAAAGTGAGATTGGCACAAGATAGGGCAGGGTTTGGGACTGTTATACCTAGGGTCGCAATGACTCTTAGGCGATTCGACGGCACATAACAACAACAACATAGTGTTGCTTGGCCAGAGAAATCTGAATTCCTTAGTGACTGAACTAAAATGATTCTCCGATCTGACTCTTTTTCTATTCAGATATTCTCTTGAAAGTACTTGTTTAGTAATTTTGTATCCTTTAGGCCACTGATGTTGCCCTTTGGTACATTAAAATTTAGAGGTTAGTGCACAATATAACAAGCATCATTGGGACAGGATTTGTCTTTTGGTGTGCCTAGAGTAAGAAATTTATAGACTCAAATATACCTAAGTCACTTTTTTTTGTGTGTCTTCCTACTGTCCTACAGTTGTTTTGGGGGATTATTTAGATTTTTCTTCTTTAAAACTCTGGTGAAATATGTAGGGAGTTTGCTGCTAACCCAGACGTCATGCCTCTCTGCTCAATCTGATCTAGTAGATAATTCAGAGGAAAAGATGAGTAATCTGCTCCTATAGGATTTACAGCCTTCAGAATTCAGGGTGGATCCAGGTATGAGTCCATTTAGAATGGAAGTTAGTGAGTTTCAAGTTTAAGTTTTAATGGAAAAACTCTGTCACAAATGGAACCTCTATCAGTGGACAATTCTGAGCAAAATTCTGGACTCAAAATTCATTGAATCTGAATGACAACATGAAATAACTGAGGAGACAGCCAGAACCTCTTCTAACTGGAGAGACAAATAGAGAGGAGGCAGTGTTTTCAGAACCCAGGTCAGAGTTAGAATCAAACATAACAGCTCTTGGCCTGTCAGGAGCTGGGGCCACTAGGATGTTTTGGAGAGCAGGGGATCAGGGCAGGAGCAGTTCTCAAACTCTAAGAGTGGGCGGGTGGTTTACTCTTATTATACTGTGCTTGATCTATCAGGAAACAGCTATACAAAAGAACTGGCATAATGCAATGTGTTTAAGAAAACAGAGAAGTGTAGAGTTTATGAAGATAGAAATTGAAAGTTAAATGAGGAACTTTCCAATAGAGAAGCCATATAAATACTACTTCAGCCTGGTCATCAGGGTCAATATGAACGGTGAAAACCAGGCTGATAGTATGTGTGTGTCTTGGTTATCCAACGCTGCTGTAACAGAGATTCCTCAAGTGGATGGCCTTTAACAAGCGAAACTGTATTCCCTTACAGTTTAGCAGACTAGAAGTCCAAATTCAGGACACAAGGTCTAGGGGGAAATTCTGTCTGTTGGTTGGAGAGCAAAGGCCTTGTTTCTTTCAGCATGTTAAACTGAGTATAGCATGGAGACTACCCAGTCTTCTGGCTTTCTTTGGCATCAAAGAGTTTTGCTATGTAGTGACCTGAGTACAAAAAGACTCACTCCAGAGCTGGTGATTATTTCCTTGTGCCACTTAGTCTTTCTCCTCTCAGTAACTCCACCCCCCCCCTTATATCTTTGTGAGATAAAGGATATTATTTACCCTAGCTGAGGGGAATGCCTACAACCCGTTAGGATTGTAAAGCTATTGAAAGTGTTCATGGTACCCTGAATCTTGCTATATCTATTTAGTTTAACAGGTCAGGGGTGATAAACAACTCCTATAGCAATATATATCTAGAAATCGATCTATCTCTATTTCTATGTATCTATGTACCTATGTATCTACCTATCTGTCTATCTATCTATCAACTATCTATACATACATACATACATACATACATACATACATACATACATACATACATACAAACATATTGGGAGACATACTTCAACTCTTTATAACATTTCCAATATGACTGATGTAAACTTCACTTCAACCTGTGGTTCTTACCCTATACCCATTTTTTTTCTGTTGTTTCATACTCTAAATTTGTGACCAACCAGAGGTTTTCAGAGGCTGGTTTAAAACCCAGGAGTTCGGCCTTTTACTCCCACTGAGCAGGTGGCAGATTTGAAGGTAGACTCATCAAAATCTGCATTATGCAGATGACACAAACCTGCTTGCTGAAACTGAGGAAGACCTGAAATGCTTGTTGCAGAAGGTCGAGGACTGAAGCCTTCAATATGAATTGACACTCAGCATCAGGGAAACAAAGATTCTCACCACTGGGCCGACTGGCAGCAGCATGATAGATGATGAAGAGATTGAGATTGTTGACAGTTTCAGTTTATTTGGCTCTAAAATCAACACTCTTGGTAAGAGCAGCCAGGAAATTAAAAGACAGATTGCATTGGGAAAGTCTGCTGTCAGAGACCTCTCCAAAGTACTGAAGAGCAACGAT